TAAAACTGTTACGAGTTTAATTTTATCCAGAGATGCAAAACATTGAATCTCTTTCCGGCGCTCCAACCGTAATTGCACATGCATTATGGGAACGCCGGGGAAAGAGAGAGAAATAAAGAGAGAGAGAGAGAAGGTCAATAACCTTGCAACGAAGTCGTGCGTTTCGTCGTACTCGATACGTTCGCGGGACCCGCGAGTCTTTCGTTCTACGTTCGATAATGAATTCCGTTGATCGCGCGGGAACGTGCCGTTAATCGGCATAATGCCGGCTGTCGTATTTGCTTATTCGCTAACTATACTCAATACGCTGCTGGTCGTATCTACGATTCCCTTCATTTTCGACAATCGTAACCGAACTACTGAGAGACTAAACAGTTCGGCTATTTCAATGATTTGCCTTGTAATATGCCTATTATTCGCATAAACACATAAATGCGCTAAGAAAAAATGAGAGGGTGTTAAAAAAAGAAAAAAAGGTTGAAAAATAACATCAATCGACCTTGAGGAATGACATAGAGATAGAGAAAGAGATAGAGAAATTTGCAGCCCGAAGAGAACGAATACCAAGAAGCAAATTTCGACGAGAGGTATAGATCTTTGGGTTCGTCCCTGCGAGCGCAATCTTATCGTGCGTGGCGTTGGTCGGCTCAGATCGCCGAGGCTGCACGAATGCTCGCGAGTGCATAAGAGAGAAGGAAAAAGAGAAGGAAAGAAGGGAGAAAAAAGAAAAAGAGAGAAAATAAAGAAAGAGAGAGAGAAAGAGAGAGAAAAGATGGAGTCAACGAACGATAAAAAAAAACGCTCAGCCACACGCGCGACACAAAGAATAAACTCTGCTCAGAGTGGTCTCCCCTCTCGGCCCCTCAGCGACTTCTCCTTCTTTCTCCCTCCGCGTTGTTACTGCACTTCGAAGGCGTGTGTGGGCGCTTTCCCTCCCTCCCGTTCACCCCCACCTCCTCCGCCCCTTACTCTCTTCCTCTCGTTCTTTCTTTCTTTCTGTTTCTTTTTTTCTCTTTTATTCTTACTGGCTCGCTCACTCTCCGGCGTTCCTCCTTCCATCGCGTCGACTAACTTCTTTTTCTCTTTTTCGCGATCTTCTTGGGGTAGGTCACGGCGAAACTGCTCGAAAGGGAGACAGGAAAAGAAAGAGTGGGAAAGTAAGCAAGAAAAAGAGAGAACGAGAGAGCGAAAGAGAGAGAGAAAGAGAGAGAGAGTGAGACGAAGAAAGAAAAAGAAAAAGAAGAAGAAAGAGAACTGTAGCCGGCGGGGCTGCCACGTATCTGCGTGCCGTTCCGCTCGGAGCCGAGAGAGCTGAGTTTCTTTTCTTTACTTTCTTCGCCCTTTCCTTCCCTTTACTTTTAAATTCGAACGAATTTCGCTTTGTTTTACAGGATTATTTTACGTTGCCTTCTTTGATTGCTACTTTATTTGAATTTCCTTTAGATACGTTAAAAACGTATGTCTCGATTTGTTTACCGAGTTATATGTTTCGATCGACTGTTTAGACGTCATTTTATAGAGGAGAAAGATAACAAAAAAGAAGAAATACAGATAGAGATAAAGTGAGATAAAGAGAGAAAGAGAAAGAGAGAATTATTAGAAGTCAATTGAATATTTCGTTAGATATTATATTTATTCGTGGAAAGTTCTATCGTGATACAATCAAATTATAGTCCTCATTATTGTTTCATTATAGCAAGAAAAAGAAACTTTTCTATTTTTCTTTTTCTCTCTCTTTTTCCATCTCTATTTCTCGGTTAGTGTTGTCGATCGGAATATTATTCGATCATTATCACCTTCAAATTTGAGCTCCAATATGAACGATCGAATTATATTCGATTAACTCGTGTAGGTAAAAGGGAGCACCAGGAAAAGTTGCAAAGGTTGTCTTATCGTCGGTTATCATGCAATCTGAAAATCACAGAAAATTACAGAAAAGCCGCGAAGACGGGCCCGTGCGATTCGCCCGGGATGGAAGCGAGCAAGTTGCTCTTGAGACGTCGTAATTTTATCTTCGTTTGTTGTAACGGCTACGAGGCACGGAACTCTTACTTATTCTTCTTTCATATCTCTATCTCTTTCTTCTTCTTTTACTTTTTCTTTTTCTTTTTTGTTTTCTTTTACTTCCCATCAGTTGTTCAATCCCTTTCGCCGCACTTTTATCTTTTTGCCTTGCGGTTCGAAACTAAGAGGACCTTTTCCCCCTTTTGCATCCTTGCTAAAAGGGTTACTCCGTTTCAAATAGAAAGAAAGGAAAGAGAAAAGAGAATCGTGAAACAATGGCACGCGTGCAAGAACCGTTATTTAAATAGTAGGAAGGAACGATCTTTGGGGTTGAGTTCAGAAAAAAACCTTTTTTGGGGTTCAAACACGCGAGAAAGAGATGCAGCATGATTTTCATTCGTAAGAATAAAATCCGTTCTCACAAATTTTCGTACTGTTATATATCAAAGTCATAGGTCCAAGTGATTAACACTACTTTTATAATATTTTGTTAATTTTAATGTTAACACACTTAATTGATGCTTCAATTTTTACATTTAAAAAATATTCATTTTATTAATATTAAGGTTAACACCATTAAATAAGAAAATTTTATATAGCTGCTGAACGATAAGCGATATGATATTGTATTTATTAATTTTCTTTACTTTTTGTTTCATGAAATTAATCAATTTTTTAAATGAGAGAGAAAGAAGAGGGAAAAGAGATCATCATATTCGATTTAAAAAAACATATTTTACTCGTACGACAAAAAGAAAAGTACAAAATAATACATATATTCCAAGTTGATTTCTTTCAAGGCAAAAAGTAATCGGAGATTCCTTAAGTTGTACTTTTTTCTCTTCCTCTCACCTTCTTCGTTTATCCTTCCCGTGAACGTTCCGGTTTTTCTGGCAGCTGTCACCGATCCGAGATCGGAGTCCCGAATCGGTGAAGACTGTATTGCTAGTCAGGGACGGTAGCAGCGAACCGGTTTCTAGCAAGGGTTAAAAGAGGAACTTAAGCAAAAAATTCATTTGAATTATTGGGTACGGTTGCGAGGCGTTGAAGTAATTGGATTTTAATTTTTGGCGGTGACGTGCAAGCGGAAGAAAACGATCGTAAGGGCGTTTGTCTCGTTCATGAGAACTAAACTGTCGAGTGTTTGCTTTAAAGTAGTCTTTTCACACCCCACTAACTCTTTCTCTCTCAGTCTACCACTCTCACGTAACACTTATTCTTTCTCTTTCTTTTTCTCTACTACGATATGATCCAATGAATTTTTGAAGTATCGTTCTTTTCCAGAACTTCCGTCGGTATAGGTGTCGGCGTCTGAGCATCGTCTGCCCTGCCGAAAGGTGGGAGAGGACGTCTTCTTGAAAGATTAGTCGTGCGTGAGGAGGGTGCGAAATATTATGTCGCGTCCGTTCGTTTGATGTCTAAGGGGTCAGGGCTTGTACGCGCGTGGACGACAAAGCCGATTATAGATGGTCCACTTTTCCCCCGAAAAGCCCGAATCTTTAAACGTGGAGGCCAAAGGCTTAAGGACGTCGTAGTCAAGGTTCTCGCATGAGAGCCGACGAACCGACATTCTCTCTCTCTCTTTCTCTCTCTCTATCGTTTAGCCAAAAAAGTTCATATTTTTTCGCCGTCTTTGGCGTCCGTTCTTGATGCGAGTGACGCGTCGTCCTAGTATCACTCCAGGAGTACAAAGGAACCGAATCTTTTAATTAAATCCCTCAGAAACGTGAAAACTTCGCCATCGTGCCGACCGTTTTTGCAATTTTCTTACAAGTTTTCGCTCAACGTGCGCCGTGTACTATGTGCTAGGTGGGCTTTTAAGGTGCCGAAAGAGAGAGAGATGTAGAGAGATGGGAGCCGAGTTTAAGAGAGTGAAAGAGAGAGAAGGAAAGAGAAAAAAAGAGAGATAGGAACAAAACCGAGACCACCGGTATTTACCCTACCTACCCTTCTCCATCTACTTCTCCAACCCCATCCCTTTGAAAAATAAAAGAAGCCGCAAAAACAAAAGACCGAGCGGCTACTTAACGAAACAAATTGTTGCTTCGTAGCGCGGACGAGAATTTAAAAGTTTTCCAACCGTTACCGTAGCACTCCTCCCACTTTTCACTTCCTACCTACAATGTACCTACTTCCTCCTTTTCTCCTTCGTTCTTTTCTTTTTCTTTTTTCTTCTCTTTTCTTTTTCTCTCTTATTTTTCTTTTTTTCTCTTTATTCTATCCTCTCCTCTCTTGTCCACCAGCCCCTTTATTTCCCATTAACAAACCCACCCCATTTTCATCGCAGCGATGCTTCGACGCGATTCAAGGCTCGTTAACGTCGCCTTATTTCTTCATTCTTCGACTTTTCTCGCGACTTCTCGATCGAAAATACGGTAAAAATGTATTATTAACTTTGACACCTTCTACTTGGTATGTTTTCTTTACTTCTATGTTTAATAAATCGCTTTTTTGAATGATTTTTGCAAATATGTCAGATCGAACGAATCATTTGTTTCTCATTCATTTATAAAATTAACATTTATGTTAGGTATGTAAATTCGAAGAAACAAGCATACAAAATACATCGATAACATGCGAACTAAGACGAAATGGGTTGTTTACGAAAATCTATTAAAGAAAATAATAATTGTTTGTATTCGAACGATGTGCAAAAATAAACGAGCAAGCTCAAAATGATAGGGAGGTGGCGGAGCGTGATTTTGTAAAGGGCACAAAATAAAAGTGGACGAAACTGTCCAATTGGATCTTCGAGAAAACGTGCAAGAACGAATGTTTGTATGTGTATGTGTGTGTGTGCGTGAGTGTATGAATTATGGAAGAAAAACATGGATCTATGTATGTCGAATTGAAAATATAATAATTGAAAAAGAGATATATGCAATGTTTCGAAACAAAAATAGGAAAAGCGATAAAAATGAATGAATGCACGTAAGAGGGACTCGAAGAAGAATTATTTAAAAGGGGTTCGTGAACAGGCTGAGTGTTCAACTCACTCGCTGCAGGGTGGACCAGCATTCCTCGAGGGTGCGTTCGCTGATGTTGCCCATTCCTCCGCCTCCGCCAGCACCTCCCGCACCACCAAGCCCCGCCGCAGAGGCACGAGACTATCGGGCAAGACAGGAGGCTCGTATTAGTCCGGTTCCAATTCTTCATCAATTGTTATCATTCTTTTAGAGTAAAACTCTAAGACTGGCGTTATAAGGTAGCTTGTTCTACGACTAGCTCTTTATACGACATATACGTATCAATAATACCTATTGAAGACTTTTTAAATTTTTTATAGAAACGATGTTTTCATATATATTGCATATATTAGAATATATTCACAAATAAATAAATATATTATTGAAAATTACGAAGAAACGATGAAGATTGTTTTAAAGATATTATATTTGTAAGAATACGTTCATAAATAAGTAATAATATTATTGAAAATTTTTTATGGAAGATTATAACATAAAATTGATAAGGAAAAAACCAGAAAATAATAAATAGAAAAAATGAAAATTTTTGGTGGAATGGAAATTCATCATAGTCGTTATTGTCTTTGTTGTCGTTGTTGTTGTCGTGTCGTCGTCGTCGTCGTCGTCGTCGTCGCCGTCGCCGTCGTGGTGACGAAGAAGTGTATCGGCGTTGCATCGTGCCAGCGGAGAAACGCAGCACGATATTTTCTTGGGAACATCTTCTCGGTGTACCGTATGACGTATGCGTATGGTATTATCTGTGTTGCGCGGGTCAAGAACCCCGAGAGACGGCGTATCTGCATCCCCGCGTTGGTGTGCGTGGGCCGCGTTCGCATTTGCGGCATCGCGGCTTTCTATGTACGCGTACACGAGAGCTCCAACGCCCGCGCCCGCTCTCCCTCGTGGAGAGCACGTGTGTAAGTTTATATATATATACAGTAACATATGCATATACATACATGTATACATACATGCAGAGATCGAGCGTGTTTCCGCGTGTCTTCGTTGTGTTAGATGGTAATGCTGCCGTTCGCTGCGTGCTCAGCTTTACGCGATATTGTACTTCAGCTTATTTCGGTGTGTAAGTGTGTATTTATGTGTGTGTGTTCATGTGCGTGTTGGCCGCAACATAAGTGTATCTCTGGGTACAGTCGTGGTTTTTAACTGTCGTCAAAATTGCCAACGTTGTCTGGCTCGATTTACGAGACGAGATAATTGTTTACAGAACGTACATATCTCATTCTATTTGTTATTATTTCTTTTCTTGTCACCTACAATAGAAGGACAATGAATTAAATCTTGCGAATAAGAACATACGTTTCTCTTTGGAGTCTATTAGAGACTCTCATTGTTAATTTGATTAGGAAGTAAGGAGAAAAATAATATCGTTTTCGGTTCTGTCACGCGAACGTTAGAGAATGAGTCGTCTGTAATGAGATTTTAACGGTCTCGACACCGAGAAGTTAACGCGTCGGCCACGATCCGAACAAATATTTTTCTTCGGTCAGTTTGTGTGGAAGCTGCTTGAAAGTATTGTCCGATGTCGGTTTGCCTGAGTGAACGACCTCATTTATCGATGCGTTATGTATTTTTATCGCGGTTGCTTCGTCCCAGTTATTTATCTCTTCTCTCGGTGAGTATGGTCGAGGGAGGCTGACGTGATAGAGCGGATAAAAGAAAAAAACGAAAAAAAAGGAAAAATAATAAAATCCGTATCGTAAAGAAGAAAAAAAACCAACGAAAGAAAAAAAGATCAGAAAAAAGAAGATGTAATGCCGTTGCGAGGAAATGTGACATTATGCGGAAAAATATATTCATGTTTAAATGCAAATTTTTAGATTAAAAATATACGCTTAGTTTTCTCACCTGTAACTCGTTGACAAGCTTCTCCGTGAGCGTAGCATCGTGGGAGTCTTGGCTGGTTGCGCCAGGACTTAGCATTGAGTTTTGCGAATTTTGTTGTTGATTACCCGACATGTTCATACCAGTTAACGCACCATTTTGCCCAATCGTACCGGCCATATTAAGTGCCTGCTGTTGCAAATTTTGCGTCAAGTTTTGCGCTTGTTGTTGAAGATTTTGTGATAGATTCTGTGCCTGCTGCTGAAGCGCCTGTTGTTGACTCAGACTAAGATTTTGCGTTAGATTTTGCGCCTGCTGTTGCAACGTTTGCGAAAGGTTTTGTGCCTGATTTTGAATATTCTGTAGGCTTTGATTAGCTTGACTTAAGTTCTGCGGTTGGTTCAGCAGCTGTTGTTGTTGCTGTGGCGACAGATTCGGCGTCAAACTTTGCGCCAAATTGTGTTGCAACGTTTGACCGAGGTTTTGTTGCATGTTCTGAGTAAGCGCCTGCGTCAATGCTTGTCCTAGGTTTTGGCTAAGAGCTTGGGCAGCTTGAACTCCCAGCGATGGACTTGACGTTTGGGACATACTTTGTTGGGTCTGTGCCGCCAGCGTGTGGAGGCTTTGGGCCATGCTTGATGCGATGGCACCTTGGTGATCCGCATGAGGTGATGGTGTCGTGGGTGCCGGCGAAGATTGATGTTGCGCACCCTGAGCAGTTTGCTGATTCATTGACATCGCATGTTGTTGTTGTTGCTGCTGCTGCTGTTGTTGCAGTTGCTGCTGAGGACTCGTTGTTTGTCCTAAGCCAGAATTGGCATTTTGCTGCACCTGAGACACCGCAGCTTGCTGTTGTTGTTGCTGTTGCTGCTGACCAAGTGGGCTATGCATCTGCGAAACTTGCTGATGCTGTTGCTGCTGTGTAGAATTCGATATCGGACTATGCTGTATCCCCGGCGAATGCTGAGGCGGGCCTCTTTGCGGCTGCTGCCAATAGTCAGACATTTTGAAGACGTGCTGTCGCAGAGCGTGCAAATTTGCGGCCGCCGCTGTGACGGCCGAGGCTTGGACTTCCATGGATTCGTGGTCGTTTTCGAGATCGGATTCTGGTGAGCTGCAAGGATCCTCGTCCTCCTCCTCGTCTTCTCTCTCGGTAATATCCTCGTCTTCCTCGTCCTTTATCCTAGCGGCTATTTCTTGCTCGGCTGATGTTGGTAGTCCTCCAGCAACACCAGCAACACCACCACCGCCGCCAGCACCTCCTCCAGTGTCGCCTCCACTTCCAGCGTTTCCTCCGCCTGCACCGCCAACACCTCCACCTCCTCCTCCTCCGCCTCCTCCGCCAGCACCACCTATCCCACCCCCCGAATCGCCAGGGTGGAGATGATTCCCCGGGTGGTGTTGATGATGATGATGGTGGTGATGAAGGGGGTGATGTTGTTGTGGCTGTTGTTGAAGGAGAGGATGGTGGGGACGGTTGTCTTGGTTTTGAGTTTGTTGCTGCTGCTGTTGTTGTTGCTGTTGCTGTTGTTGCTGCTGCTGCTGTTGCTGCTGCTGCGGCGGTGGCGGTTGTTGTTGCTGCTGCTGCTGAGGATGTTGCTGCGGCTGTTGCTGTGACTGCAACTGTTGTTGTGCCTGTTGATGGTGATGGTGCTGCTGTTGCTGCTGATGCTGGTGGTGATGTTGTTGTTGCTGCTGTTGATGGTCCAAGCCAAATTCCGATTGGGCTTGCGTCTGGGCGCGTAGGTCCAGGGCCGCCGTCGCGTCCGAAATCTTGAGGCCTTCGCGAGAAGCCCGGGCTACCCCCTTCCGGCGCAGCTTGCCCGCTTTTTCGCACCCCTTGAGGTAAGCAGCTCGACGGCCGACACTCCTCCGCTCTTGGCGCCGTTCCTTGCCTCGCTCGTGGTACGCTCGAGGCTAGCTAGTTCGTTCCCTCGTTATTGCTTTGGCTCTTCGCGTTGCCTCCTCCTCCTCCGTCTCCTCCTTCAGCCCAGGATCGTCCTCGTAAGAACGATAACGATCCTCGGCTTTTCGGGCTTCGACGTGGGCGGCGGGCAATGTCAGTTACTCGCCACCTGCTGCGACTTCCCGAGCCCTTTAGTGGCCGCTGCTGCGCTCATGTAATCCGCTCCGTTCTTTCTTTTTACTTCTCTTCTTCTTCTTCCCCTTTTTCTGCTTCCTATTCTTATTCCGATGGTGATAGTTTTCCTTGAGCGGCCCCTATACGCAATTACCTCGATTTCGGTTGTACAATTTTGTTCTCTGTTTCCTTTCGTCTTCTTCTTCTTCTTCTTCTTTTTCTGTTGCTGCTTCTTCTCAATTCTCTCGTAGCCGTGATACGAATTCGCTTCAGTCACTTCGTGAGTTAGGTCTGATTCGTCGATACGTGTTTACGTTGATATTATACTTTTACTTTCTCGTCGACAGATGCCCGTCTGTCGGTTCACTTGATCTCTCTTCTTTACTCTCTCTTTTCTTCTTTTACTTTGTGTCTGTTTAACGTTGTGTGTAGGAGGGTGTCGTGTTCTTCCGTGTTCGTGTGTTTTTCTATGTGAATGTGTGTTTCTGTTGTGCATGTACTACTTGTATCTCTCTGTCTCTTTTAACTTCTTTGATGCGCGCGCGAATGGATGCACTCCAAGTAAGGAGAACAGCCTAGTTTTTCTTTTCTATCTAACTTAAAGTCTAGCGTACACTTAAGTTCAGGTTAAAATTCAGGATTGCCCAGCCCGGACGGTGTAAGCGAGGAAGTATAGTCCACGCTGTTACGCGATTAGGATTCGGTCGAAGGTTTCTTCGCTTTTAATTCGTTACACTGGTGTGTAAGAAATCGCACTGATGGATAAAGTCACTGCTCGTCCCGTTTTGCCCTGAGTATTAGCCCCGTTGAATGTTAGATGTGTGTGTGCGTGTGTGCGTGTATAATTTTTCGTGTGAGTCTTTTTTTTAGTTGTAATCGGGACGAGAGGGAAACTTTGTCCTCTTTGGATTTCTGTCACTCCGTGTTTCTGTGCGTTTCTTTGAGTGCACTGTCTTCGGATTCTTCAAATTCTTCTTCTTTTTCTTCTTTACTTTTTTTTCTTTCTTTATTTAAAAGCGCTTTTCGCCGCTTTTCGTTATTCGGTTGTGCGGTCGAAACTTTCGAGCCTCTTCCTCTTTTGCCAGTTTGGCTCGCGCGCGTCGACGACTCCTCCTCGAAATGCGACTCTAGCGTTTCTCTTTAACTCTTTAAAAGGAATTCTATTTCGATAATCGATTAACCGCTTGTAGTTACCGATATCGTCGATGGTAGTTGTGGTTGCTTCTTATTATCGTTTAGGTTTAATTAATATTGCACTTAGGTACACTCGTTTTTTGAACACACTGAAATATATATGTATGCGGCGCGGGGTTTTTACATTGGAGCTTCCTGTCGATATCTTTTCACGTTCTTTCTTCCGTAATCTTCTTTCTCTCTTTCTCTTACTCTTTCTCTTTTTCCCGTTGTTTCTATATCGTTCTTCTCGATTTTTTTAACACCTTCTTCTTCTTCTTCTATTTCTGTATGTTCTTCAAATTTTTCTCTTTCTCTTTCTTTATTTCGATATTCGTTGCCGATCACTACAACTCCAAACCCCGCTTATGATCGCTCCTCTTCTCTTTTGCTCTTCTTCTTTTTCCGCACTCGCACTCCTCTGCTTCTTCTGCTTTGCTCGTCCTATTCTGCTTCTTCCGCTTTGTCCAGTCTTCCTCTCCTGCGCGGGAATTTCTCGCTGTAACGCGTCTCCCGCTCGAAGCTGCAAATCAGAAGAAAGAGAAACGTCATTCGTTTTTATCGGCCTATCGACGATGTATCTTATACACGTATTTAATAAATAAATCAATCAATCAATCAATAGACGCGTAGCATGCGAATCGTTTATTCTCCTTATCAAGCATAACTAACGAGCAACTAACTTGCGTTATTTATTTCGAATGTCCTACGAAAAATAACTATCAATTCGCGTCTCTCAGTTATCAAGGATCAAAAGAATTTTTTTAAAAGAACTAACAAAAAATATCAATGATCACTTGCGTTCTCTTAAACGACGCTTTCACTGTATCTATTAAAATAGATGTAGCTCGATTCGACGATAAAACACCTAAATTATACACAAGCCGCCGAGAATAGATAGGTATACACTTATTCATGTTCATCCCATTTCATGGAAAAATCAGAAGATACGAATAATTTGCAAGAATGTTTTTTCTATCTGCTTTCTTTCTCGATGAAAAGTAAAAGAAAAAGAAAGCGAGAGAGAGAGAGAGAGAGAGAAAGAGAAAGAGAAGGAACAACAACATTAACAACAACAACATGAACAACTGACTTTACATACATAAAATCAACTCATAAGATTTATGATTAAGTTAACGGGATGAACATGTGGAACGATAATGCAAATGTTTCGTTCGTTTTTAAAACTAATTTCAAGTGACTTACGTCGCATTTATTCTCACCGGCAAGTGTATACACGATCACTGATCTGTCACCGATTAATAACCTATTCAATATAAGATTATTTTCGTGAGCACGTATATACGTCGCGTCACTCGTAACGACGAACTTCCGCGATTTCAACGGGATTTCGGAAACAAAAAAATCCAAAATGTGAAAACAAATATCTTAATAAAAGCCGATACACCAAGATCCGACGAGCATCATTGCACTTTCGACACTAGGATTATCCTACGTGAAAAAGGATCAGTTTCTTGTTGACGGAGGAAAGGACGACGCACAGCAAACACATTTTGTTTTGATCTAATGTCATAATTTTGTTGAATATTAATTGCACGTCGTTTTTCAAGAAACTTTTATTTATGGACAAACCGTCACGCTATTTAGTAACGTTTCATTGAAGAAGTTTAAACTAAACACTTGTAAATTATTTCCAATTGAGAAACTTCTTTTATGGATTCGTGACAGGAGACACGCGAAAGATCGAAATGTGACAGATAAATTTTTGTCGAAATCTTGTTAAAAATTTTGTCGGAAAAATCGTTTTTATTTTTAATGAAGTGTAAGATTTTTATAGAAATTTTCAACCGATCAAGGTATCTTCAACGTCCTTCTTATATTTCAAATATACACATCTCCGTAAATAAAACAATTGAAGAAAATATCATTTTCTAAGATGTAGATATGTATTTCAAATTCACGAAATGTTCTTGTCATCGTCAAATTTTCATCATCATAACACACGAAATTTAATAGACGAACACCGAATAATTTTTTAAAACTATAAACAATGACTAAGAAAAAGCTTCTACATTAGCGCACACAAGTACTCGGAATAAATAGTTATTAAGAATTTTGAAAAATTAAAAAAAGAAAAAGATAAACACGAGAGAGAATCCTTAGAAATTGTAAGAATGACGCTGACGTTTCACTTTTATTTTTTTTAGCGCGAACGATAAAGAACGGATGTCACAATTTCGACACTTATGCTTGCACCCTCGTTCGACGATACTACTAACACTATACGCTGATATATTAACAAAAACAAAAACAAAAACAAAAACGACGATCGTCGAATCTCGTTAAACAGAATAACAAAATTTTGAAAGAAGAGAAGATTTTTCCGGCGGCACAAAGTAACAACTTGTCGATCGTCCTTTTCTCGGCTTACGACGAGGAAAAAATGACACGCACTTTGCAGTCTTATGTTAGTTTCCCTCTCTCATACTCTTTATTTGATTTTTCTTTGTATTTCTATCTACTTCTTTCTCTTTCTTTGGAAGATTCCTATCAATCACGATCGGTGATCTCGTCACTTAGCTTTTCGACCACGCATAAAATGTTTTTCTCGAACGTCTTTTCCCTGCACACTCTGCACCCCATTATTCTTATAAAGGCACTTGTATACGTCCGATCTTGTTGAATGAAGAAAGGATCAAGTTGTTCGCGATCGCGACGGAACACTGCAAGCTAGTACGCTGACGTACCGGGCATGTCAGAGAGGCTCCGTGAGTAAAGGGATGGAGAGGGGGTGGATCGGTGGTACGTTCGCTCGAAAGAGGGGAAAACCTACTAAATTCGTGCGAAAAAGAAAGGAGGAAAATGAAGAAGATGAAGAAGAAGAAGAAGAAGAAGAAAAAGAAACAGAGGAAGTTATAACACTGCGGGTAGCGTCGCACGGATTTCCTTCAGCTTGGTTTCGCGCACTAAGAACGATCACAGAAATCAGAAGAAGAAGTAGAAGTAGAAGTAGAAGAAGAAGAAGAAGTTTAAGAAGAAGAAGTTGAAGAAGAAGAAGCTTTGAAGAAAGTGTAAACGCGCGATAAAATCGTCGTGGAAAGTCGCAGAGTTCGTCGAAGAAGTAGAAAGAATCCAAGAATGTGATCTCTTACTAGAGATCAGTGGGTCCGTGGATCGACGAAGGTAAATAGTGTCGGTGCATATAAGCGATGTAACTCTCGCGTGGCAGTTCTCTCCTATCAGGGCTTAGAATGGCAAACACCTCTTTCACGTTCGGTATCAGCCAAGACACTGTTCTTCCTTGGTAAAGACGTTGCCGAAGACGACGACGAAGACGACGACGAAGACGAAGACGAAGACGAGGACGAAGACGAAGATGAAGATGAAGACGAAGACGGAGACGAAGACGAAGACGAAGACGAAGACGAAGACGACGATAACGACAACGACGACGAC